CGTTGATTTATTGAAAATGTTGAATTTTAAGAAACAAAAAGTACAACTAAATATAGCATTTTAGCTCAGTAAAGGCATGGGCCAACTAATGCCAGCATATATAGCTGATGTATGAAGATCATGATTGAGGTATGGTTAGGGGAGAAAGAGGGCCAAACTTTTGAAATGCCAAACCTAAAACAGAATTTTTTTACCAGGAAACTATAAGCAATGCAGAGGGTCGACACAGATTAAAAAAAGGTGTAATCACATGATACATTCCCTCACACCATTACACACGTGACCTTAAGTTAATTACCTAACTTCTAGTGCATTAAATTTGTATTGAGAGGTCAACAATATTTGACAGTAAGTGACATAAATACTTTATTCGCAAGTAAATAATTCATTTTTAAATGTCCTTCCCTAGCTTGAGTAATCTCTTTTGACTGGACTCTGTTTACTTGGCCCTAACAGTTCTAATCCTGGTACAAAATAAAATACCACGATTGGGCTTACAGTATAATGGCTATGTACATGCGTACATACAAGGCCACTGATTTATTGAAAAAAGTTGAATCGTAAGAAACAACAAGGGCAACTATAAGTAGAGCATTTTAGCCCAGTAAAGGTGTGACCAAACTAAAGCCCAGAGCCTTGGAGAGCCTGTCCCATGAGAGGTAACCTCAAATTGACTTTCAGTTAGTCAAATCAGTTAGTCAAAACAAATCAACTTGTTTTGGGTGTATTGGGCAACCCTCACCATATCAGTTACTTTTTTCATGTCCTGTTAATCGATAAAACTCTGCATTGATTGATGGATGGACTGCCTGACTGACTGACCGACTCACTGACTGACCAATGGACTGACTGACCGACTAACTGACTGAATGGCTGACACACTGACTGACTCACTGACTAACTGATGGATCGATTAATGATTAATTTATTGATTGAATGATAAATTTACTGGAAATTTTAAAGAAAGAGCAAATTTACTTCTTGGTAAATTAGACATAACTCACAAAAGGAAAATTACAACCTTGGTAAGTACT